CCCCCATCAGTTGCATTTTATTCTCCTCAATGGAGTCATCTTGATGAATTTTGAGAACATACCCTGTTCTCACCAGTGATATGTGTACCGACCTGCCAAGCTCCCTCCCTGCTCCTTCCCAGCGTCTACGTAATGGGCATTCCCCTTTATTTTTCCCAGCTGCCGTTGAGTTGATGCCAACTCATGGCAAGCCCAAATGTTGAACTCAATAAAAATGAGCACCATCGAGTTTTCCATGGAGATTTTGAAGTAGATAGCAACAGCTTTCTTCCAAGGTGCCTCTGGGTGGATTCAAACCACCCGTTTTTGTCAAGCATGGATGAACTCGGCAGAATTCTCGTTGTTCCCTAAACTAGCTCCAGTTTCTGTTGAAAGCAACCTCTAAATGGGGACCCCCAATTCAAGGCAACCTGCTGTACAATACGCTCTTCAGGCAGAATTCTCGTTGTTCCCTAAACTAGCTCCAGTTTCTGTTGAAAGCAACCTCTAAATGGGGACCCCCAATTCAAGGCAACCTGCTGTACAACAGAATCAAATACCTGCCTGATTTGTGCCATGCACATACTCAATTGCAGATTGGACCAATTGTTTTCCATGGCTGATTTCTGAAAGTAGCCCACCTGGCCTGTTCCTACTCCCTCCTGGCCTGAAGCTATGGTGAAATGTGTTCAACCATCACAGTAACACACAAGCACCCTCTGACAGATGGGAAGTGGGTGGGATTCAAATCTGGGTATGTCCAAGGGAAGGCAAGACTTTGACCCCTGAGTTACCACCGCCCTTGCTCCATCTCATCACTTGCTTTCCCCAGCAAGTTTCAACAATTCCGTAGAAAAGAACCCAGTGACCCAACGGGGCAGGCCAAATGATCTCATGGGTTTCCAAGGCCGCAGTCTTGCCAGAAGCAGGCTGCCCATCTTTCCCCAAGGAGTAGTGTGTGAACGCTAACCACTGCCCCAGAATGGCCGGTGGGTTCAAACCGCCAACTTTCTGGTTAGCAGGCCAGTGCTTAGCTGCTGGGCCACTAGGGCTCCTGAACTTCCTTCAAGAGGGGATTGAGCTCCTATCCACCCTTCTGGGAATCCTAAGATAAATCTCAGTTAACGATTTACTTGATGTTAACTGTCCACAACCGCCCCCACATGCCAGTCAAACAAAATGCTCACACTGGTATTTCTTCAACAGGTTTCAGTAGGGGCAGGGCTCCCGACTTGATATGATAAGGCAAGGCTCCCGGGGGTAGTGCTGGGTGTGTTTTCTTTCCCTCCTCATCCTCCCGCATTACTTACACAAGTCGCAACCTGACGTGCCCCTTCTTAGGGCCCGAAATATGACAACTATTCAGATAAGCCCCTGGAATGTAAAGTGCGGGTTGATTGCTTTGCTGGTAAAGACAGCAGAGAGAGAGAGAGCCGGCATTGTAATAGTAGGTGTGGCTCCCTCAGGAGTGTGTGCAGATAAATTTCTAGCACCCAGCCGCATACCAACCATCGGGGGATGCCGTGACCTTTAACCACATGTGGAATGAAGCAAGGAGTCCCATTTTGATGGGCTGGGGCATTTTCACCTTGAAAGCAGCGTGAGAGTACTGAACACAAAGGGATTTTGTATCTTTAAAAAATCTTCTCGTGCCTTCATTTCTGGAGGGGTGTTGTTTTCATGTGTAAGAAGCTGAATGCGAGGCTAACTTTTCATCTCACCGTTTTTGCTTTCTAAAAACCACCGAAGAGTGTGGGGTCTGGAGGCAGGTACAATCTTGACTCTGGCATGTCTTCAAGGTAATCACGTCTAGTTTATGGGACTTAAGAAGAGTAAAGGAGGTGGCTTCTGGCATTCCCAGCCCAGGGTGGGAGACGAGAATCAGAGCAAGGTGGGGAGCCTTCTTCCTAGACCAGACCACCTGTTTCCTCCTGCCCAGCAGCACCCTGCCATCCACCACTGAAAAGGGGTGCTGTTATTGTTAAGTGCAGTTGGGTTGGTTTCGACTCATAGCGAGAGAACAAAACACTGTGTGGTCCTGTGACCTCCTCACAATTGTTCTTTATGTTTGAGCCCATTGTTGCAGCCACTGTGTCAAAATCTTATCTTGTCAAAGGTCTTCCTCTTTTTCACATAAAAGGTGTGGGGTCTTTTCATTCTTGGGCCAAGAGCCATTTGGAGTCCTTGGGTAGTAGGATCGGCTAATGGCTCAGCTGCTAAAGGAAAGGTGGAAGGTTCAAGCCCACTTTGAGGTGCCTTGGAAAAAAAGACTAGGTGATCCTCTTCGGTAAAACAGCCCCAAAAAGCACTACAGAGCCCAGCTCCACTGAAACACACGGGGCCCTCTGGGGTTAGCTTTGGCTCCATGGCAACCAGGGGTGTCACCCCCATGCTGTTTGCTTCTGGAGAAGAGGCTGGACGGAGTCCCTCAGCCCCGCTGAGGTTCGAACCTGTTGGCCACACTGACTTGGCCTTCGCATGCTAGGATTCACTTCTTTCAGTGTGCTTTTCTAGATTTAATTCCATCTCTGTTCCCAGTCAGCAGGGGCACCCACCAGGTCCCCCCACGAAGCCTCTCAGACTGTTCTTTATGAAATGCTTCGCCAGATGCCCAAGTGCAATGGAATCGCTCCCTAAATCCAGGTGTCAGAGGAGGCCAACCAGTTAGTCCACTGCCTACTCGAGTGGATTCTGATTCCTAGTGACCCTGAAGGACAGAGAAGGAGCCCACTGGAATTCTCCTTGGGAGAAAGAGGAGCCTTTCCACTCCCGTAAAGAGCGACAGTCTCGGAAACCCACTGGGGCAGTTCTACCGTGCCCTACAGGGTTGCTATGAGTCAGGAGTGCCTCCGTGGCAGCGAGCTGCTGTGGAGATGCTGTTTTCTAATGCACTCTTCACAAAAGAGCCCACCTCCTCTTTCTCCAGAGAAGCAGCTGGTCGGTTCAAACCACCAAACGGTTGGGCTAGCGGCCGGGTGCTTAAGCATTGGACCACCAGACCTCAGGGACTCTGGAATTGGCAAGCCTGGCCGGGAAATTTGTGTGCCGCGTGACTAATCCGGGGAGGTTTTGTTCCGGAAGTGCACATGTGCACTCGCAGCGAGCAGCAGCTTGCAGAGTCTCACAAAATAAACTGTCTCATGGAAGGAAGCCCTGAGGTCTGGGGGTTTGGACTCAAGTTCAGAGCGAGGGTGGGCCTGGCATGGGAAGAAACTGCCAGATGCATGGATAACGGCTCTCTTTGAATTCACTCCTGTTAGGATCCACTCACTTTCAGAAAGACAGACAGAACAAGACGATGAGCTGAGTCTAACATGGGAGAGAGATGCCCAGTAGGGTGCAGGGTCATAAGAAGGATAATAAAATTCATCACCATAATTACCCCCAACCCAGTTCCCCAAGAGGCAGCTCAATGAAGTTATTCATCCATATTCAAGTGGCCCTGCTCATTATCAGCAAACAAAACTCCCTGCTGGGCCTCACTCCTTCCTCCCAGCAGCCCTGTAGAGCCCCCCACCTCCCACCCCCATAGTCCGGCTCACTTTCTTTCTTCAGCAGCCCAGTTTCTAGTCCTAACCCTGGTGGTGGGGTTTGTTTTTGTTTTTCCCACCACCTTTGAGGAGCACCTGGCTTCAGATCATTACAGCAAGCCCTTCCCCCAAGGGCACCCAGATGCTGTCCTTAGTGGACCCGAGATTCAGGGAAGGGTGAGGGGACTCCTACACCTCCCACTGGACAGCACAAAATGGTGTCATTTGTGAAAGGTCTCGTCGAAAAGGCAATGCAGCTGAAACACACCACTGTGCCTATCCAGAGGAAAACAGGCGCTCGGAGCTAGGGCTGCGGCTGCTTCAACGTTCTCCCTGCGAAGGCCACCCACGAAAAGGCAGGGGCTATTTTCTCTCTGCATGAAATGCTGGAAAGCTAAGTTAGGTCAGCACTCTCCTTCAAACTTTTTCCCCAGGAAGGACCCCTCTAGGACTAGGTCTAAACTCCGGAGGATTTGGAAGATGAAGGAGTTTAACCTTTTAGAGCCAGCTCAGAACCTTCCAACCCCAAGGATCGCTAGTGGGCTGACTACACCTTCCACTAATATTTAGTGAGCACTTACTATATGCAGAGCCCGGGCCGCATGGTTCAAATCCCCCAGCTGCTCCCAGGGAGTCCGGCAGGCTGTCTGTCTACTCCTCTAACGATTTACTGCCTGGCAGACCCCAAGGGGGCAGTTCTACTCTGTCCTTTGGAGTCACTAAAAACAGACTGTGGGTCTTACACGCCCGAGACTATTTTGGCTCTGGGCATCAAGACTGGCTGTGCCATCAGGTGCTTCTACTCTATTGGGGAGAGAAATGAAAAAGTGTAAAAAAACTAAGGGAAAATCAAATGGCCAATGCACCAGCATGGTGAGCAGACAGAGGGAAAGGGACAGAAGGAGGTGTAAAAGGAGGGTCAGGGTAGTGGGGAGAGGAGAGATCCTTCAAGATCTCACACAATTGAAATAAAGTTGTTTAACACTGATAAGAATTCGTCGATGTTGGCTGCGGTCAAGACGTGGCCCCCCCAATCCATTTAAACCTCGATTGTCCACTTGCTCAGGCGACTCAAGCAGCACGTCAACTCTTTCCCCCACTTCCACCCACACTACCCTCCGGAGCAGGGGCTCCGGCGCACTTGGACAGGTAATGCATCCCTACCCCACACCACGCAGCTCAGGCTTGCCTGCTGGTCATTTCCGACCCAAATTGGCACTGGGCGAGCCGGGCAGGGGCTTGCAGGGGGGCAGGCGGCAAGGACGAGGTCCTCTGCCCCCCGCTAGCCGCCGTTGGCTTCAGGACCCACCCAGCTGGTTCTTTGGGACACGGCCCTGCCAAGCAGCAAGCAGAGGCAGCCGCCAACGCACCCTGGCAGCGCCCTCGGCTCTCCGGGCAACCTCACACACCATGCGCAGCCTCCCAGCAAGTCCCCGCACGTCCCCACCAGCAACGGGTGGCCCCGCTCCCGGCGGCTCTTACCTCCCTGGGCCAGGAGCCCGAGCGAAGCGCTTCCGAAGACGAAGAGCAGAACCCGCACCTTCAGCATCGTCTCCGGTGGGTGGCGAGCTCTCGCCGAGGGTCTGCGCTGGGCGACGAGAGAGGCTCGGAGCCCCCAGACCCCCGCTTGGAGGAAAGGAAGATGGGGAGCAACGAGGCCCTGCGCCGGAGTCCCCCAAAGTCTATGGCCTGCGGCAGCCGAGCCCAGAGCAAGCAACGCCGCAGTTCTGCACGTTTCCCCGGAGCGGAGTCGGCATTTATCGCCCCCGAGAGGGCGGGGAGCGGGTCCGTAAGGTGGTCCCGGCCGGGCGGGCTGGGACCGCCCCCCGGCTCTGTTTGGCCGCCGCGAACTCCCCGAGCTCAGGCCAGGTTTAAAGTTACAGGCCCGCGGCGGCGGGGGCCTGAGCGCGGGCGCGCCCCGGGCCCTCCCGGGGGGCTTTCTTTTCTGCCACGGCCCGAGGCGCCGGGGGGCGCCGGCGGGGCGGGGGGCAGGCCCCGGGCGGTTGCCCAGACGCCGTGGGTTGCTCGTTCGGAGCGAGGCCCACGCTGAGGTCTTTCTGGCTAGGTGCTGAAGGGCCACGGAAGCAGCGGTGCCTGGTGTGGCCACCGCTTGAGAGCCAAACTGGGGATTGTTCGTGTAAATAGTGAATTGGACGACTTCAAAACAAAACACAAACATGAACACCCCAAAGTGGCCACGCGCCTGAGTAGGCCAGAGGCGGCGGCTCCGGCTGGTAAATTGCGCCCTTGTTTGGGGGCGCCAGCGCGGCAGGCCGTTGGCTCCAAGGGGACCCGCCACAGTGTGCTGGCACTGAACGGTGCGCACTGGGAGCTGCGGCCCATTGAAAAACACTGATGGGGCCTCGCCTCTGCCCCCACCCGCCCACCCCACCAAGGCCGCCCTTCCACCCAGCAGCACTCCCCTCCTCCCCCAGCCCATCAGAGGACGCGCGGCCGCCCTCCACTGCCCCAGCCAGAGAAGCCTAACAGAACCCATATGGGCTTCATGGCGCCTGCCCCCGTGCGTCCTCGGCTTACGGAGTTTGGCCACATCGTCCCCACTTTGCTGCCTTAAACAACCGCGTCCTGCTCTGAGGCTTAGAGAAATAAGAAGAAAGCCTATATAGGGTCCCTTGGGGTGGGAATCGCCTCGATGGCAGAGAGCTTGGTTTGGGGGTTGGCAGATGGGCAAACGTTCAGAGGGATAGGAAATATATGTATATATGCAAATATATGCATGTCCTTCTGTGTACATCATAGTAAAGCCCGAGAAAGCGGGACCCTGTGTAAGGTGGACACCCGTCAGAGGGGAGGCACCAATGTTTCCCAGTAGAGATAGAGTACATGCTGTCAAAGGCAGTAAACTTCTGAGATGCGGAGTCTGGGTGGGGACAGGGGATATACAGCCCTGGCTAGTCCCACCACTCCCAGCTTTCACTGCATATTTACATAGCTACTGTATTTCCTTCTGGACTTTTTAAATTACAAAAAGATATACTTCTTTTGGAAGACTAACAGAGGGGGCATATCCGTGGGTCACGGTCAGTTGTTACAAATTCTATTCACTACCACGTTGCTGATTGGAAGTACCCTCAAGGGGGTGCCACTCACAGTGACCTCATAGACAACAGAGCACTAATTCCCCAGGGAAGAATGGTTGTCTGTATATCCTGATCCGAGACCCAACATCCAAGTTAACGTTACAAGAATCACATGGCATGGTTGTTAAACTCAAAAAGCAAACTCAGGTTCTTGGACTCCAACCCAAACCCCTTACATCAGATCCTTGGGCAACTAGCATTTTCAGGGAGTTGAGTGGGGTTGGGAGGAAAAGTTTGTCCCTGAGAGTTTGTGGTAAAACATGCGCTCTGTCAGGGCTGTGCCAACATCAGCCAGCAGGTGTTCCACCTGCAGGTTAGTTACAATGCTTGCATTGCTAGGGTGGGTCTGGGAAGGGACTGAGATCCTCTATTAGTAAAGGTCTCCCTTGTGAGGGTGGTCCCTGCTGCCCACCTCCCACCTGCGGACTCCCACCGAGGACTACAAAACCAAAACTGGGGTCTGGAGTTAGGGCCAGAGGAGGAAGAGTCTTCTCCCAGCCCAGAGCGATGGAGCTGGAAACAAAGAGAAAACAGGGTTTCATTTATATTACTTTAAAACTTCCTTTTTTGTGAAAATATATTGATAGCTCTCAAATAATCTTTAAGTTGTTGTGAGGGACAGGATTGGCTCTTCCATCTCAAAAGTTTGCCAACTCCTGGACTAGAGTTACAAATCCCACCTCCCTGCCCCATCTTCATACCTACACATAAGAGCAAGATCACCTGGAAGCGGAGACTGGAGACTATAATACTTCGGGAAAGGTTGTTCATTACCGTTGAACTAGCTCCAATTCCCGACCACCTATCTGCACGGGGGCCGCCAAAGATTGTGGGAAATAAAAGGAGAACCCACAGATGGGGAGAAACAAATCTTTAGCAATGAAGCAATGGACAAAGGACTAGTCACTAAAATAGACAGAATTCTGCAACACCTCAATAAGAAAAAAGATCCAATTAAAAGGTGGGCAGAGGGCATGGACAAAGAATTCACCTAAGAACACACTCGAATAGCCAACCAACACATGCGGAAATGCTTATGATTACAGGCCGTCCGGGAGATGCAAATCAAAACAATGGTGGTGAGAGACTACCTTACAGCCACCTTGATAGCCCCATCAACAAAGCAGAACAACAAATTCGCTGCCAAGAGTAGGGAGAGATTGGAGCGCTCATGCACTGCCGGTGGGATTGTAAGCATGTACATCATTGTGGAAGCGATATGATGCTTTTAGGAACAACCGGCAATAGACACAGCATTCGGCCCAGTAAGGCCTCTGCTGGGCATATACCCCAGAGAAGTAAGAGACAGAATACAAACAGACAGAAGCTCTCCCGTGTTCACTGCAAACAATTCACCATAGCAAGAAGTTGGATACAGCTCAAATGCCCATCAATTGAAGACTGGATAAAGAAGCTCTGGTACATTACACATAATGGAATATTATGCATTCCTAAAAAACCACCTCATGACATTGGAATGATCTTGAAACCATTATACTGAGTGAAGTTAATCCAACACTAAAGGACAAATATTGAATGTACCCACTACTATCAGGGTAAAAACCATGGCAAAGCAGGCGTTTATTCCCAAGCCATGTAAGTCACCTAATCTGGTCCTTCAAGTCACGAGGTAGTGTGCCTGCCTACTTCTCATAAACTGTACATCACCTCCTTATTAACACATCTTAAAAACCACCTCAGGAGAGATGGCCTCACTCAAGACAGGGTCAATTTCCTTCCTGTGTTGTGGGGAGTGAGTGGAGATCAGTTCATCTGATATATAACAGTGTTCTACGGCCATTCCAAATCAACACACAATCCTACAAGAGTAATTGGTGAACCATACTTGGAAATCCGATCAAGAAGAGTGGGGGACATGTCTGTATGGAAGAAGGCGAGACTGCACCTCTCATGGTGGGTCGACCTGGTGAGGCACCCATCATTAAGAGAAATACTTTGGGGAGGGGGGCGTAAAAGGGAGCTAATGTCAAGGAGGAAAAGAATGTTTTGAAACTGATTGTGGTAGCAATTGTCTGGTGCTGCTTGAGGTGATATCTGTATTAGCTCCCAGTAAAATGGTTTTGGAAAAAAGAAATAAATAAAAACAGTTAACATTACTTGTATAGACCCCAAGGGTTATTATGTTCCCAGAGAGGCACTTTTGACCTAATTTCTAACCAGCCTCTGGTGACCCATGAAATGTGTTATAGACAAGTGGGACAGTAAAGTCTGGCCTTTTGAGGTCCACAACACACTTCATGGACCACACCAGAAGGACCTGAATTGCGTGAATTGGATTTTACCTTCAACCCACTTGTGCAGAACTAAGGAACTGAAATACTACCTTGAACTTTACCCTGAAATGCCGACGTGGGAGAAGCAGATGATCACCACCCCAAACTGACGTTCCCTCTATTGTATATGGTCACTGTGACTGGGTTCTTTTTGCTTGCCTTGTTCTGCGTGTTTTCCTGTATAGAAAAGCCAGCACGGGTGGATCTATGGAGCCAGTAACTGGACTAATGATTCCCTGGGAGCACGGAAAGGGACTCAGGTGGAAACGGGGAGTCAGCCTCCATGGGTACAAGAAGAAAGAAAACGTTCCAAAGTGGATTGTGATGATGATGGCACAACCCTTCTGAATATAATGAACGATTGGATTGTATGATAAGCTAATTATACCTCAACCAAATGTTGTTTTTTTTAATTTGTGGGAGATTTCCACGATCATTCCATTTCCCCAGGGCTTTTTGAACGCCCAGCCTATGACAGAAGGACACTTTGTCAGGTGCTGAGCCAGCTTCATGACCCCAGTCTGCTTCCATCTGTTGTTGAGGCGACCGGGTCAATCCATCTTCTTGAGCCGTTTCCCAGCTGCCTTTGGCCCGCTGCCTTTCCACTAGCGTCCCTGGGCGGCGCACACAGTTAAGCACTCGACCACTAACTGACAGGTGGGCCGTTTGAACCTACCCGGAGGTGCGTTGGGAGAAAGGCCAAATAACTGCTTCCAAAGATTGAGAAAAACAAAACCCCAAACCCTGCCCCACAGGCTTTCCAAGCTTGTAAATCCCTTCGGGAGCAGACAATGGCACCTTCTCTCAAAGAGCAGCTGATAGGCTCTCCAGGCGCTGCCCTACACTTAACCTTGGAAACCTTATGGAGCTGTTGTGCTCGACTGCCCACACATAGGTCACCATGACTCAGACTCCACTGGAGGTCAACTAACAAGGAATCTACCAGGTAGAGGAAAATAGGGTGAATGCAGGTAGCAGAATGCTTAAAACCCAAAATGAATGAATGAATGAATGACTAAGAAGCCCACTGCCATCGATCGAATAGAGTACATCCCCACTCATAGTTTCCAAGGCTGTAAATCGTCACCAGGGAGCAGACAACCTCATCTTTCTCCTGTGGAACCTTGTGGGTTTGAACAATGAACCACCAACCTTGCAATTCGCAGCCCAGCAGTTCTACTCTGTCCTCTAGGGTCGCTGCTGGGTCAGCAGTTCGAAACCAGCAGCCCCTCTGTGGAAGAAAGATGAGGATTTCTACTCCCGTAAAGACTTACAGTCTTAGAAACTCACAGGGGAGTGTTACCCTGTCCCATAGGGTCACTGTGCTTCAGAACTTACCTCATGGCAGAGAGTTTGCTGTTTTGGACAGCCCTGAGCTAGAACAGGGGCAGATGACCCAATCAACAAGGTAAAC